ATTCCAACGCTCCTCGCCAACCCGCGCGCCGCCTCACACGACATCAACAAGATAGTGCGGGACGACTATGCAGACATTCTGTACATGCGCATGATGGTTAAGGCCATGCAGCAGTGGCGCGAGGACAAACTATACACCCCTTACTACCACCAGGTCGGCATGCTGCGGGCCGATCCGGGAAACTTCAGCAATGGAAGCATGCGCAACTATCAAAAGCTGAATGTGCAGAGCCGCGCCGAGTGGCTTGACGTCGATGAGGTTCGGAGGCGCTTCAACGGCGCCTTTGCTGACGGCGAATTTGAGGGACTTGATAAGATCATGTACAATCCAGATTGCGGCTGGGCCGAGGCCGACAAGGCCCTCGGGGCCGTCCTGCAGGCTGCCCAGGCTGAAGGGGTGCGGCACCACGTCGGCGACGTGGAGAAGCTCATTTTCAACGAAGTGGGTGCCTGCGTCGGCGTGCAGTTCAGAGGCGGCGACGAGATGCGCGCGGACGCGGTGCTCCTCTGCACCGGGGCTCGGACACCTTTGCTCCTGGCTGATAGCGCGCCTGACAGAGCGGAGTTGCACGCAGGCCATAGGGTCGAGGCCACGGGTGCCGTCAGCTTCACGGGGCGCTTTACCGGCGCGCAGAAGGACAAGTACACGGGCGTGCCGGTGTGCAAGAACGTCCTGCCGCAGGTCAAGGGCGAGAGCATGGGCATGACTGTCGAGGGCGTCATCAAGTTCAACTGCGACATGAGCTTCACCAACATGCAGCTTCACAAGGCCTCGGGCCAGCGCATGTCAATGGCGCCGGATGACGAGCAGTACGCCACGTGGTTTGGCCGCGCCTTCTCCTCGCGGTTCGAGAAGAGAGCCCTCAGCACCATGAGGGGCCTGTACGGCAAGGAGGTCGATGGCGTCAAGATTGAGAGGTTCCGCATGTGCTGGTCAGTTGTTCTCTTTGGCTTCCCGGTCGCCGCCCCCGCGGCGTATTTCTCGACCGAGCTAACCGTCGACGCAGGGACGCCACGACCAAGTCGCACGACTTTCTCATCACGCCGCACCCCCACTGCGCGAACCTGTTTGTTGCGACGGGCGGCTCGTTCCACGGGTGGAAGTTTCTGCCCGTCATTGGCGATTATATTGTCGACATGCTGTTCGGGCGACTGGCGCCCGAGTATGCGGACCGCTGGGCTTGGGACCCGGTCAGCGAGGACGAGCACAGGGCGAATCCGACCTACGACGTGGAGTTTGACCTGCCCGAGTGGCTGGATGGCGGCATGCAGTGTACGACTTGGTAAAGCTGGAGGGATATGTGGGTAAGGGGTTAAGGGGAAGCATCTTTAGAAAGAGAGGACCTGCGAAGAAGACAGAGAATGAGAAACGGGTACTGGCACACGCATGTAGAATCAAGATCTTGCCTCCTTGTATTCGAAAAGTCGCACAACAGATGGTGGGGGTGATTTGTGTGTATGTACATGTTCAACCTCGGCTAGATGGCCAAAAAAAATAATTGGCAATCTGCATTTTTGATTGTTTCCCGCAACTTGGCCATTTTGCATTGCTCCGTTTCCTCCTTCATCTCGCATCCCTTCCCTTCCCCTGTGCATCCCTTATGCAGAGCTCGTAAAGCTCGTCTCCTTTCACGCTCCGTTGGCCTCAACCTTCCCCTCCGTCTTCTCGAGGTAGGCGACCAGATCGGCAATGGTGACGACCTTGAGACCAAATTTGCGGGCAAACGCAATGCAGCCCTCGGCGCGCATCATGCCGCCGCCCTCGCGCAGGGCCTTGCCCTCGACCTCGACGCCGTCCTCGACGAGCTCGCAAATGACGCCAGCGTCGCCGGTGCCAGCGAGCCTGGCAAAGTCAACAGCGGCCTCGGTGTGACCGGGCCGCACGCGGACGCCGCCCTCACGGGCGCGCAGCGGGAAGACGTGGCCGGGGCGGCGGAGATCCGCGGGCTTGGAGCCCTTGGCGGCGAGGGTGCGGCAGGTCAGGGCGCGGTCGTGGGCAGAGATGCCGGTGGTGACGGAGGGGTCGGCGGCATCGACAGAGAGGGTGTAGGCGGTGCCGCGGGGATCCTGGGTCGCGGTCAGGGGGACCATTTGCGGCAGCTCGAGAGACTCGGTGAGGTGGGGGGCTAGCGGTGCGCAGATGAGGCCGGAGGAGTGGCGGATCATGAAAGCCATTTGGGCTGTGGTTATAGACTGGGCGGAGATGATGAGGTCGGCTTCATTCTCGCGCGAAGGGTCGTCGAGGACAACGAGGAATTCGCCGTTGCCTAGGAAGGGGACTTTGTTAGCATGGTGATCGGACTTGGATTTGGGGGAGGAAGGCGCAATCAATGGGACGTACGGAATGCGGCGATGGCGTCGGGGATCGTGTCGAAAGCCGACGCGGGTAATGTAGAAGAGGGCATGGTTGCGTTCGCTGTGAATGTTGGGTATCGCAATCGAGTCTGGAGGGTGTTGCCGGAGGGAGATTGGCGATGGTGGTTGCGGTGGTGAGGTGGTGACTCTTTCCGGGCGTTTGCAGAGGGGTCGGCGAAGTTTTTAGGGGTCCTATGGACATGTGCCGAGTGGAGGGGTGAAGGTGAAGCGACGGCAAGCAGCGCGCGGGTGACTGTCGATTGGGTCGAGTACTATGGTCTGGTCGGTCGTGAAGAGGTGGAAGAAAACAGATGAGAGAAGAACCCAAGAGATCTGGCCATGTTGAACCTAGTACCTACGACCTACTCAAGCGGGATGCCAGATCGGTGTCGTGGGACCGACTGCGCCTGGCAAGCACGAGCAT